TATTTATGTTCTGCTGGAGGCTCTCTGTCTCCTTCCTGTTTTAATTTTATTTAAATGTCATTCACTTGGGTTTGTAATTAAACCTCCCCTCTGCTTCTCTGAGGCAGGCATCTGAGGTACCATTTAATTGTGTCTTTCCATGGTTGGCTTGTTTATCTGTGCACCTGGTTTACCTCAATGTGGGGACAGGTTTTAGTCCTGGAGAAGTTCCCATATCCATTATTCATTCTACTCTCCTACATAGCAGTTCAGTTTGAATTCAAAATAGGATAAAATTTGAGAGTCTTGATGATGTGAGGTACGTAAATGCTAGGAACAGTTTGGCAAACAAGGCTTCCTGAGGATTGAGGGGGGACCTTGTGTATAAGGTGGCAGAATTCTCAGGGGATGGTACTGAACTCTTCCCACTTGAAAAATAGATTGGTTGTCTCTGCCTCTGAGAATTCACTTGGGACCCAGGAACCATCAAGGTACCTGTTCCTGATTCAGCTTCCCGGAACCTGCGCACTATCCTTTATTCCACCTGTGTCTGCATTCAATAAAGTCAGAACTGCTGTACACAAGATTCCCCAAGGAAAGGAGCTTGGGCCAAAGCTAAGTGTGAGGCTGACAGTTGCCTCCAGTTCAGAGTCAAAAGAGGCAGCAGTTGCAGTCAATTTCTAGTTCCTGAAAAAGAGCCCAGAAATTAAGTTTTCAAAGTGCCTGATGGAAAAGACCTTCCAATGAAGAATTTGTGTCTGTGGAACATCCATTTCCTTATAACTTAATGTATTGAATGTGTAATATAATACCTCAAATATTGCAGACATAGCTTCTCTATTTTTCATTCAGGTTAAGAGCAATTGGAGCCAGGTATCTGAAGCTTCATTTAGTAGAGATAGCAAAGATTAGGAGTTGAACCCAGGATCCCAAGGCTTTCCTAGAATATCGTTGGTGCTTCAGTGGTTTTGTAAACTTTGATTATTATTTTGAAGACTGCCAAAGGTTTGTTTTGAAGGCTGCCCAGATTTCCTTTTGAATTTTCATTCCTCCCTAAGAGTTCATGGCTCTCTCTGTTGATTGAACATACTTGGCTCTTTTTCTCCTTCAGAGAGGAAATACCTTTGTATGTTTGGCCTTGTACTTAGTACTGTGTACTGTTCTGTAAATTTCAGCTGGTAATCAGTTATGGTGAGGTTATAGAAAGTTGAGATGGAGCCGAAACCGGTTTGGCTCAGTGGATAGAGCGTCGGCCTGCAGACTGAAAGGTCCTGGGTTCGATTCGGGTCAAGGGCATGTACATTGGTTGCGGGCACATCCCCAGTCGGGGGTGGGCAAGAGGCAGCTGGTCGATGTTTCTCTCTCATCGACTTTTCTAACTCGCTATCCCTCTCAATTCCTCTCTGTGTAAAATCAATAAAAAATATATTTAAAAAAAAAAAAGAAAGTTGAGATGGAGTGTTTGTGGAGATCATGCTAGTTTCTATGGAAAGAAATACATTGACCTGTTGTCTTTTTAAAAAATATATATTTTATTAATTTTTTACAGAGAGGAGGGGAGAAGGATAGAGAGTTAGAAACATTCTGCACACCTCCCACTGGGGATGTGCCCGCAACCAAGGTACATGCCCTTGGCTGGAATTGAACTTGGGACCTTTCAGCCCACAGGCCGACGCTCTGTCCACTGAACCAAATATGTTAGGGCTGTCTGTGTGTTTGTTTTTTGGTTTTTTTTTTAACAAAAATAAATAAATAAAATAAAACAAATATATATATATATATATATATATATATATTTCAGAGAAGAAGGGAGAGGGAGAGATAAAAACATCAATGATGAGAAAGAATAATTGATTAGCTGTCTCCTACTGGGGATTGAGCCCAAAACCTTAAATGACATTTAATGTCATTTCTAGCTCTAAAAAATCTATAATCAGCTATGTTGAAGCCTCATAGACTTAGAAATCTCATTACATCAGGTTAGAGGATAAAAGACAATGTGTGTGTAGTGATGTAGAATACACTGAACAGTTGGTAGAATGAGTGCAAAGCCAGGGAGATGATGAAGGAAAAAAAGCACTATTTCATGGGATATTAGGGGCATTCTCTGTTGGAGAGGAATTGTGGTCCCTGATGTCAGAGGCTTGTGGGAGCCAATTTTAAGGTTGCTTTGTTCCTTTGAGCTGCCTGTTAAATTCCCTGTAGAGCAGGGGTTGGGAACATCATGCTCATAGGCCGTATAAGGCCCGCTTTGTCTGACCCTGCCAAGGCAACCACAGGCCAGACTTGAAATTCAATAAATTTAGGAGCTTTTTTCAGAGCAACATAATTTTTTCTATTTTTATTTTTATTGATTTCAGAGAGGAAGGGAGAGAGAGAGAGAAACATCAATGGTGAGAGAGAATGATTGATTGTTTGCCTCCTGCAGGCCCCACACTGGGGATTGTTCCCGAAACCTGGGCATATGCCCGGATCGGGAATTGAACTGTGACCTCATGCTGCATGGGTCAACTTTCAACAACTCAGCCATTCTGGCCGGCACAACATAAATTTATATTGAGTGAATGATGTTATAAATATCCAAATGGGCTCTAGCCAGTTTGGCTCAGTGGATTACAGCGTTGGCCTGCAGACTAAAAGGTCCTGGGTTCTATTCTTGCCAGAGGTACATGCCAGGGTTGTGGGCTCAGTCCCTAGTGTGGGGTGTGCAGGAGGCAGCCAACCAATGATTCTCTCTCATTGTTGATGTTTCTATCTCTCTTTCCCTCTCCTTTCCTCTCTGAAATAAATAAAAATATATTTTTAAAAAGAAATCCAAATGACCCTTGGCAGAAAAAAGGTTCCCGACTTCTGCTTTAGAGAATGGCTACTTCCAGGTGATAAAATCTTGGCTTGTTTTTTTGGAAGGAAAGGGGAATTTGACCTAAATTATCAGGGGCAAGATACAGGTATCCCTTGGCATTGACTCTCAGTATTACAGTGCTAGACTCTCCTCCTCACTACTCTTCAGCTCTGTTGATGTCTCTTGCAGTGGGACACAGGTCACCTCTTGGATGGTGCCAGAATTGCTCTTTTCCTTCTCTAATATTTATCACTTTGTCATCCCTGATTCTGAATCCCAGAGATCAAGACTAACTGTAGTCCAGCAGAGGAGCAATAAATCATTGTTTCCACTTCCTTTTCTCCAGTTTTGTGTCCCTTAATTATCATATAACCACTGCTGAAGTTGCATCTTTGTGCTGTTTGCGCTGGGGACAAAATCCTTGTTGATTGGGTTTTACAAAAGCTGCTTTATCTCTCTCCAGCCATTACGTTTTTCGAGTTCCACGTGTGCTACCCATCAATTCCTCTTTTTCTCCTGTGAGTTTATAGTGTGTGATTGTCATGTGATCTATCCATTAGCAGGGCTTGTCTCCGCTCTGAGGTAGAGGGTGGAGTGGGCAGCCCTTAAATTTACTCAACAAAGTGATCATTAGCGAGAGAGATTTGGTCTGCATTAGTTTTATATGAATTTTAATGTTAGTTCCCTTCATTATCTGAGCTCCTGGTAGGAGCTAAGCAGATTATGTGATCCTTCCATAGAGTTTTTTCTTTTTCCCCCCAGTCCAACAGATCACTTGTTAACAGGCCGTATCAAAGGCCCAGCTGCCTATCACTTGCCTGTCCATTATGAATCCTCAAAGACTTTGAGTTGGTACAGGAGTGAAGAGTTCATAAATGAGTTCCTACCCCCTTCATCCATTGCAAGACTCTTTTGCTATTTGAGGGGAAGATCCCGGCTTTAGAAACAGAATGAAGACAGGCTTTTGTACTTTTCCTTACCTGCTGCTTCTTTGTTGTACCTGTGCTTTTAGAGGATTTGAGAGTGAGGGGTGTTGTGTGGCAGGCAGCCAGTGTTGAGAGGTTTTACTCCTACTCATTAATCCCTGCTGTTTCAAATCAAAGTCCATGTCTCTTCTCTAAGAGTAGTAAACTTCACAAAGCTCAGAGATCATGGAAGAAATGACTTTGCTGGCAAAGAAGCAGATATGGTCTTAGAAAGGAGAGGTCAAATCTTTTTTTGTGGAAGTAAGGAGGGTTGAAGAAGAGAAGATAGGAGGACCACCAATTGCTTGCAGCTGCCAAACACCTTCCTAGTTTGCCATCAAATAGGGCTGCTAAGACAGAGCTGATGGTTATGAGGGACACGGAAGCAGGATTAATGTTACAGTCCTAGGCAAATGAGTACAAGGCAATTGATAATTTCCTTTATGCTTAATATTTATTTGTAAAATGTCTTTAAAGCTGCACTGCTAACCTAGGAATTTGGGTTTTGGCCATCTCTCCCCTCAATAAGATTTGCAAAAAGAGGACCTTTTCAGTGAGTGTTGTCTTAGTTGAGAAAGGACAGAGCAGAGCTGTACATTTGTTTGAATAGTTAGACAGTTAAAGGGCTTTTTAATTTTTCTTCTTCATGGGCTCTCATCCGATTCTGAGCTGAAGTCCAAGTATAAGTTCTACAACATAGCTGGCTCATCTTGTGATCAGTTAGAATTGAAAAATGTCCCTCTTAGCAATGATGTTTGAAATAGGTACATAGCTAAAATTTGGTGACAGGAGATGCTCCCAGCCTAGAGTGAGAAGGGAACCCTTATTTTGACTTGTAAATTAAGCAAATTTGATGGGGGTATAATTTTAGAATATTTAATATGTATTTTTTTTACATTGAAATGATGAACCTTTTTATTTTTATAAATACTGTAAATGGGAGATGGTGATGTAATTAATATGTATTTTATAGTCAAATTTCTGAGCTTGAAGTAGATTTTTTAAAACCTTCTATGGGCAGTAAGCAGACTTGTGCTTGGGAAGGCCAAGTCAAATATATACTTACCTTACCTACTTTTAAAAAATGCTTAGTAGCTGGACTTACCGTATTAGGATTTCTGTAGAGAGCATTGATTTTCATTGCTTTCATTTAACTTTATTAGTTATGCTTTGAATAGCTTGTTGATATCTGTCTTTTTTTTTTTTTTTTTAAGCCTTGATAAATTTGCTGAAGTTCCTTATGTCAAATGAGACTGTTCTTTTGGCCAAACACAACATTTTTACATTAGCCCTTATGGTGAGTAACCAAAGAAATATTTCTTTTTCTAAAGTTCTACCCTAAGACAGAAATGGGCTGGTTTGAAACAGGAACTAGGTTCTGGGGACTAAGTCATAGGGGGAACCAGGACTTTATTTTCCTTTTGGATTAGAATCTCTGTATTGGTGCTCCCTACTCTTAAGTCTTTGGTGAACTTGGTATACTTTCTATTCCTTTTTTAATCCTCGCTTAAGGATATGTTTTTATTGATTTTAGAGAGGAAGGAAGGGGGAGGGGAAAAGAGAGACAGAAACATTGATGTGAGAAATATCTATTGGTTGCCTCTCATACGTGCCCCGACTGGGGATCCAACTTGCAACCTGGGTATATGCCCTGACTGGGAATTGGTCCCACAGCCCTTTGCTCCAATCAACTGAGCCACACCAGCCAGGGCAGGACTCTTTCTCTTTCATGAGAGTATATTACCTGGCAGGGGCAGATATAGGTCAGATCTCTGTGTCTGAATATGAGCCTCGGTCCCAGTAGAGAGACTGTACTACAGTACTGTAGTATCTATGTTGGTACATAGCAAAGATCTAGAGGTGTCCCAGCCACGTGAATAGTTCCATCATAGCTGCACTTAGTTTCTGAGGAACACTGCAGATGTCTGCTTATCTAACTAGTTATTTGGGATAATAGGCGGGCATTTTGCCTTTTTACTGTCTTCTCAGGATATTACCCAGTGTGTTCATAAATGTTTAACATTTTTTTGGGGAAAAGTCCTGATTTTTTGTTGTTGTTGATTTCCATGGTAAAACTATACCTACCAGGGCCGATTCCAAAGTTATTAAAATGGCATCATTGAATGCAGAGTTGTGAAAGATAGAGGTATTCCTACCTCATCATATTTAGGAGATGTAAATCAATCTCAAGAACATAGATGATACTAAAAGATAGAAAGTGATTAGGCAGTGATGATTTTTAGAATTTATTCTAAATAATAATTCTTCATTGTAATATAATTTATTAAATTGTAAGTTTATGTAAATTATTTTTTAATAATGGCTTTGTTTAATAACCAACTCACAAATTCCTAAAAATGTAACAATCAGCTCTTACAAGCCAGTAAGAGCTGGTTGCAGTATATAACTGATACCTTCCAGTCTTCATAGTGTGATACTTGAGTATGGGCTTTTGCTTCTTTTTTAGATTGTGAACCTATTTAATATGTTTATCACATATGGTGACACATTCCTGCCCACCCCAAGCAGCTATGATGAACTCTACTATGAGATTATCCGTATGCACCAGAGCTTTGACAACCTATACTCCATGGGTAAGCTGTCTTTTCTTTTTACTCCTCTCTGCCCTCTTTTTGCTCAGCTCTCTGCATCAGCTGTGATTTTTAGCATATAAAAGGAAAAGACTACAAAAGATTCTGTAGTTGCTTGGTGCCCTTGCTTGGCATAGAAATACAGTAGTCTCTTCTTCTCAGACAATAAGAAGGAATATATGGACCTTTTTGCCTTCAAGAACTCAGAATTCATTTCAGTAGGAAGCTGGTTAACAGCCCTGTAGCCCTTTCTTGATTTTTGTGAGGAAAAGAGAGAATAGGGATGCTTGTGGACTTAGTGAATACAGTGAGATGGGAGAGAAGGAGTGGGTGGGAATTGACAGTGGAAATAGAAGAGCTTGGATCCCAAGGGAAGAACATTGTGTTACTTGAGAAAGTACAAGATTTTAAGGGGTTTTAATGTACCTATATATTTTAGCATAGTAACTTATAAGAGGAAGTGGGCATTAAATAAAAATCTTTCTTGCAAACCTTTTGGTGATTGGCTCACTGAAAATTTACTCTTGGGCCATAGTGAGTACAACTACAAGGTAGAGCAAAAGTAGGGTTACAATTGTTTGAGAGAAAATACAATAATTAATAAATAATAATACAAGAATAAACTCCATGTTTTGCAAACTCACAACTGTAAGTCTACTTTTACCCTACCTGTATTTCTGAAAGAGGTCATGTATCCCTGTAAATTTGAGTAAAGAGTCTAGTCAAAACTACCTGGAGTTTGAAAGTTCAGGGAAGATTTCACAGAAACAGAAATTCACTTAGTAAAGCTATCTATTAAAATCCCCAACTTAATAGCTTTCTTGAGGTATAATTGGTATATAATAAACTACACTCATTTAAAATAGTATACAATATTTTATTGCTTTGGCACACATACATATATATACATGTGTAGCTATTGCATATAAATATACATTCCAGGCTTCAGCACCCATTAATAGATGAATAAAGATGCCTTTCAGTGAGGAAAGAAAAAGAGTTTGAGTGGGAGAGAAATTTTATAGAAGCCTGTCATACCTGTTTAACTGGGCCATGTACAGAGTAAAATGAGATTAAGTCCTTGTAGCTATAGCAACAAGATGAGAGAGGATATCTGGGAATGCTCAAATCTGCCAAAGGAATTAAAATGTTAATCTGGAGGGGGGAAAGGGTGGTGAAATGAGAGCTATCTGCAATATTATCAACAATAAAAAATTTATCTTAAAAAATGTTAACCTGGAAAACACAAATAGAAAAGTGAAATCTTCACTAAATTAAGCACAACAAATGGAGATAGTATGTTTTAGTACTCTCTCCATTTTTTATAAAGTATGATGAAACTTCTGGTGGAAAAAACATTTTTTAAGTCAAGTTTTTTGTTTTGTTTTTTTAAACTTTCTATTGATTTCAGAAAGGAAGGGAGAGAGAGAGAGATACAAACATCAATGATGACAGAGAATCATGGATCAGCTGCCTCCTGCACACCCTGCTAGTGGTTCTCAACATTAGAAAACAAAGATATTTACATTATGATTCATAACAGTAGCAAAATTATAGTTATGAAGTAGCAATGAAAATAATTTTATGGTTGGGGGTCACCACAACATGAGGAACTGTATTAATGGGTCGCAGCAATAGAAAGGTTGAGAACCACTGTTCTAGAGTTATTCTCTCCGGGTTCAAATTCCAGCTCCATTACATAAAACTGTGAATGACCTTGATCAGTTACTTTTCTGAGTATCAGTTTTCTCTTCTATATGCTGTGTTGCATATAACTCAACTTTGGCCCATTTCTGGCACGTAGTAAACTTACTACATAATTAGCTCTTATTAGCTATCTGTTCATTAAAAACATAAACTTGGGGGGAGAGTAGGGAGATCTGGGGGATAAGAGATCAACTGAAGGACTTGTATACATGCATATCAGTACAACCAATGGACACAAAACTCTGGGGAGGGAGGGTATGTATGGGAGGGGGGGCAATGTTAAAATATGTACACAGATAATAATTTAATAAAAAAATAAAGAGCTAAAAAAATAAATAAATATAAAATAAAATAAAAACATAAACTTGGAATACCCACCATGTGCTTGTTCTTTCAAGGAGCATTGCTGGTTTGTCTCTTTTCTAAAATAGTATAGGTACTATAATGTATGATCCTGAAGCTCATAGCTGCAAGAGAATGTTCTATCTTCCTATCATCTCTCCTCCTGTGGTTAAGTGTGGAAAAGAGACAGAATTTGGTTAGAGAAGGGAAGAATATTCCCGTTGATTCATGTTGCAGGTCACATGAAACTAAGTCAGGGAAACTAAAATAGATTATATGTGAATGCAACAACTAAGTATGGGAATCTTTTAGTGGGGAGTGGATGAAGGGGAACCTAAAGCAGAGGAATAGTTTGATAGAAAGTGAAAAAAAATTCCCGGTGAAAAGTAAGTCTTATATTTAACTCTAGGACAGTGATTTTCAACCTCTTTCATCTCATGGCACACAAACTAATTGCTATAATTCTATGGCATATTGCTGAGGCCAGTTTGGCCCAATGGATAGAGCGTCGGCTTGGGGACTGAGGGGTCCCGGGTTCGATTCCGGTCCTGGGCTTGTGCGTTGGTTGCGGGCATATCCCCAGTCGGGGGTGTGCAGGAGGCGGCTGATCGATGACTCTCTCATCAATGTTTCTGACTCTCTATCTCTCTCCCTTCCTCTCTGTACAAAATCAATAAAATATATATTTAAAAAAAATAAAAATAAATAAAATTCTATGGCATATTAAAAAATAGATTATTTTTTTGCTGATCTGACAAAAAAAAAGTAATTTTGATTCATTTGCATTGGATGGATGTTATCATCTTTTTGTTTGACAACCTATGGGAAAAGAGGTTAGAGCTCCTGACTAGATAGATATTGCATGTTTTAAAAAGTTTTGCAGCACACTGGTTGAAAATTGCTACTCTAGGATGAGGACATTTTATTTTATTTTAAAATTTTATTTATTTCTTTAATCATCACCCAAGAATATTTTTTCATTGTTGTTTTTTGTTTTGTTTTGGTTTTGGTTTTTTTCAGAGAGAGAGGAAGGAAGAGGGAAAGACAGGAATAGTGATGTAAGGAAAACACATTGATTGGTTGCCTCCTGCATGCACCCAGGGCCAAGTCTAGAAAAGAGCCTGCAACTGAGATACGTGCCCTTGACCGGAATTGAACCCGGAACTCTTCAGTCCTCAGTCGACGTTCTATCCACCGCGCCAAACCAGTTAGAGCTAGTAGGAGGACATTTTAGACAGAAGATTGGTACAGGCTCTGTTTGGTTATTCTAATAGTGCTATTCTGAGACGTGTCTTCATCTTCATGTCTGTTTTATACCAGGGGTCTGACAGATCTTTGTTTTTCCCTTCTGTACAGTCCTGAGGCTTTCTACCAATGCAGGCCAGTGGAAAGAAGCTGCTAGCAAGGTGACCCATGCATTGGTTAATATCAGGTAAGGAACGAGATTTTCTCTTTCAGAATTGCTTGGTTCATCCTCAAGTATATTGTACTTTTCTAAGTAGTTTGTTGAACACTACTACTATTTTAAGCCCTGAAGCCTATAGGAGTGGAAGAAATTGTCGTACTTGATCAAGAAAAGCAGGCATGCATGAAACTTTCATTTTGTCATATTGAAATAACGCACAGTGCTGTTCTGTGAATTTTCTTTTCTTACTCAGAGATGGTTGCAGGGCCTTTTCAGGCATCTTTATTGCCAAAGTATTTTCTGTGTATAGGGCATCTGAAAGCCGTTCTCAGTTCAAAGAATGACTCATGGGAATCTGGAACCTTGACGTCTTGCTTTACATGGCTATTTCTATTTGTGGTAAACACAGGCAAATGGAATGGAGCTTATGGGGCTATAGATTCCTTATGAAGCCACAAGACAATTACAGAGTGCTGTTGGATAAAACTGAGTCATACATGAAGTTGGTGTAGGTTCTTAAGGAAATACCACCTGGAAGGACCTGGAGAGTATTATGCTAAGTGAAATAAACCAGTCAGAGACAGACAAATATCACAAGATCTCACTCATAATGTGGAATCTAATGAATAAAATAAACTGATGAACAAAATAGATCCAGAGACATATTATAAAAGGAAATAACATGTATTCACTGGAGTGAGCTGTTTGTAAATGGAGAAACTATGTTTTCAGTATTGGGAAACCTAAAGCTGACTTTTCTTTATTTCTTGCTTCCTCTGTGCCTATTTATTTTCCATTTTTCTCAAGTTATTAAATTGTTCTTGCAAACAATTGAAAAATTAACATTGAGTGGATGAGCAAACCCAGCAGATGGGGAAACTTGATTTAGCTCCAGATGTAAGCTTTGCCAGGCATTCCTAGTAATAGTAATATACCAGTACATTTTTAGCTTGGTATATCCTAATGTATGACAGAGCTTGGAGTCGGTGTTTGTTTCCATAGTTTTTTTTTTTTTTTTTTTTTTTTTTTTTTTTTTTTTTTTTTGTGTGTGTGTGTGTGTGTGTGTGTGTGTGTGTGTGTGTGTGTGTGTTTTAAAGGCAAACTGTCCTATTCCTGTAGTGATTTACTGTAGTGTTTGGCATGTCTGGGAATGAAAGGAAAAGTGTGAAATTGCGTTGAGAAGGCTGGGATGAGGGTGAGATGTGCTAACAAGATTGCATTGAAGGTTGATCTGCTTTACCTGACCCTAGAGACATTTTGTAGCATACACAGTTTTATAAATCTCACAAATAAATGTATATTTGCACCTAGCAAGTAAACCAGATATGGTAGTGAGGCCTAATGATAAATATGATTTTCTGAAAGTATCAGGAATTACAAACAGCTTTATTACAAATATCCCTTTGTGACCTAAGGGTAATATGACAAATGTGGGTATTTGAAAGAAGCACTAGATTATTGGTTAGATTATAAAGTGCATATGGGTATAAATTATATTATGTTTATTTATTCATGTCTGTACTTGGGCTTTCTAGGCAGTTCCTTTTCATCTGGCATCTGTTTCCTTGGTCACATTCTTTTATGCTTGTTTTATCTCCTAATTTGCTGTTTTTCCTTTTAGTGACTTCTGGCTTGGCTGCTGTCCTTATTCTTTTCAAGGGCCATCAAACAGCTGATTTAAGATCTTGGCCTGTCCTTTTTCTGAATAGATCAGAAAGGACTGGATTAAGTTTTCTTCTTTTTTAAATAATTCTTTATTGTTGAAAGTATTATATATGTCCCCCCTTTTCCCCATTGACCCCCTCCATCTCGCCCCAGGACTGGGTTAAGTTTTTAGCCGATGCCTGTGACTATCACCTCTTCCTTCTCTTTGCAAGTCTTTGTTAGGCTTCTACTCCATTTTTATTCCTCAAACTTTTTTGATAAATTTGCTGCAGAGAATAATTATTGTATCATTTTCACTGTTGCTAATGAATTAGACTCAGAGTATGTGTCAGATGTATCAGAGATGCAGTCAGTTTTCTCAGGAGATTCCTAGAAAGATATGTTTGTGATAAGTGCCACTTATCACACTAAGGCCAGATTGAGGAAATATTGGTGATGCTTAGCCTGTGAAAGTTTACATTTTTTCTTTCACTTAATAAGTTCTAAACTTTGTTCTGCTCTTTCATTTACTGTCTTCTTTAATTTCAAACTCTATAAAGAAGACTATATTATAAATTTAAAGACACTCTTACCAATGAGGAAACTGAGTCTTAAAGATATTGTGAAATGCAGAAAGTCTCACAATTGTGTGGCAAAGCTGAGAATTAATCATAGGCGTTCTAACTTCCAAGTCCAGGGCTCTTCTGCATCAGAGGTGGGGAACCTTTTTTCTGCCAAGGGTGATTTGGATATTTATAACATCATTTGCGGGCCAAAATTATCAACTTAAAAATTAGCCTTCTACTAGTGTATATTGTCAAACATTGAATGAACTCTCCCCTGATGCCTTGGGTGGGCCAGATCAAATAAATGGACCCTCAGGCCAGACGTTCTCCACTCCTGTTCTATACCATATTGCCTTCTTCTGTAGAGTTGCATCAAAGGCTTCCGTAGAGGTAAACATAAAACTCAGCAAGATAATTGAAAGGAGTATGGATATTTCAGTTAGAGAAACTGGATTTTTTGTTTTTGTCTTAATGTGTGACCTTGAGCAAGTTTTTTTAGCTTCTCTGGAACTCTTTCCACTACCTATAAAATGGAGATCATGGCAATATTAACTGTTTCATAGGGAAGTGGTTGTGAGAATTACATGATGTAATGTATATGAAAGCACTTAGTAAACTATAAAAATACTGGTCATTTCACTTAGCCTAATGTTTTTAAGGTTCACTCCTCTTATAGCATGTGTCAGAATTTCTTTCCTTTTTAGGCTAAATAATATTCCATTGCATGTATGTGCCACATTTTGTTTATTCATTCATCCATTGATGAAGCCCCAAGCGAGTTACTTCCACCTTTTGGTTGTTGTGACTTTGGTTATTTGTGCATGGATGTATAAACATCTGAGCAGTATCTGCTTTTACTTCTTTTGAGCATTTACTGAGAAGTAGAATTGGTAGATCATATGGTGATTCTTTGTAAAATTTTTTTGAGGTATTGCCATACGATTTTTCAGGTTTAGCATTTTGTGCCTTCCTTAGAATGTTTCCTAAATATGTCTTCATTTGTCCCTTCTATAAAAGTTAAGATGTTAGAGATCAACCGAAGGACTTGTATGCATGCATATAAGTATAACCAATGGACACAAAACACTGGGGGGTGAGAGCATGTATGGGAGTGAGGTGGGGGGGCAATGGTAAGATATGTACACGTATAATAACTTATTTTAAAAAAAAAGTTAATATGTTACCCTTAGCCTTAAGAGATATTTTGCTTTTTTTGTGTGGCTTGATGTCGATGCCTTGTATAAGGATGGTCCAGGAAGTTTTCTTTTCTCAGCTGAGGGCAAAAAAGTGCTATGCCTAAGAAGTCTCTATTCCACTGAGCCAACATTAATGAATGTTGCCTTTTTATGCTCCTTTTATTTTTCTCTGAGGTTTTATTGTACATCCATGACACTATTAAATTTGAATGATTTAGAAAACAGGAGATTGTCAGAAAATTGGACTTGTGGGTTAAATATCTCCCAACGATACTGTGAGACATTTAACTGTTTGCTGCCAAGTTGATTATCAAGTTGATTATAAAGGTTTAGGAATAATAATGTGATGGATATAACATTTACTTCTGTTGTTTATAAAGATATTTGTGCTGATCCCACACCTGGAAAGGCTTTCTAGGGCAGAGCATACAAACTCTTAGCCACCTCTCCTGTACTAAGTTCTTTGATAGCCATGAGAAGGGATTGGATTGCATGTGCAACTTTCAGACATTTAACAGCTGGGAGGACCTCTGAGACTGATTTGTTAGTTGATGACAGCTACAAATTATGCCTTTGGAATTTTCTGGAATGCAGTATATCAGATGGCAACTGTAACATAGTATCTCACCAGTAGGTAAAAGACTGCAGGTCTTTCTGTTCTTTGGGGCTTAGATTCTGATAGTGAAAATTAAAAGTACTCCCACATGTTTGGAGTCCTAAATTTGCTCAAGTGTCAGACTGTTTGCTTTTCACTTGTCTTTCCTCGCTTAGTCATGCTAGTTCTTTACTTGTCAAAGTTATTTGTATTTAAACAACTTGTCTCTCTCTCTTCCTATTTGATCCTTCAGAGACATTCTTAAAATGCAGCTGCTTAGAAAGTGCTATTTTTGTTGGAACACCTGATGTCATTAACATACAGAGCACTATGTTTATTTCTCCCCATAGGAAGGTTGTTCCATTACTTTGCCACAAGAAAAGTAAAATATAGCTCCACCTTTAAAATTCTACTTGGTATAATTGTTCCTGCAGCTGTCTTCACAGATCTCCCAGTCCACAAAAGAACACTCTGGTGTCAGGGTGGGGATGGGGGGAGGGAAGATGTTCAGGGATGGAAGGAGAACACATTTGGGAAGTTTTCCTTGGAGATTTCTATGCTAAATATATCCTGCTACCACTTAGCAGGCTCCTTTATTGGGGTCCTATAGATGTCTGCTGACTAATGAGTCAAAAGAGAACAAGAAAAATTTTAGACTAAAATCTGATCTTCATCTAATCAAACTACTTTCAAAGTAATTTGAAGTCTGTAATGAATCTCTTCAAGTTAACATCTTAATGCTTTTCACTTAATGAACATTTTATTAGTGCCAGATTCACAATCCTATTCTCTGATTGCTCACAGAAGTAGAGGCTAAATCACAGCAAATAGGTCTTTTCCTGATCTGTACTTTCCTTAATTTGGATAAAATTTGAACTCTATGATTAACATATTAATTTTCTCCTTTATTTGGAATGAGTTTACTTTTTTTTTTTTTCGAGAATGACTTTTTATTCTTTATTTTATTAAATATATTTTTTACTAATTTCGGAGGAAGGGTGAGGGAGAGAGAGCTAAAAACATCAA